ATAAGCACACACGTACTATATCGTCGTAGGAGATGCTGACAAAAAGGGTAGGCTTTGGTGACTTATATTTCGGCATCCATCGAAACTTTAGTACTTATTGAATATAGAATGATGTTTTAGGCTTCGTAGCACTGTTGTACTAATTTAACTTACAATATTATTTTGATTAGTACTATTATCAAGGCCTTTCATATTTTTGCTTGCAGTCATTTGTAGTAGTAGTATAGATAATAATTATATTAGCGTTTAATAATGAATAGCAATTGTGTTACTGTTAATAATAATGTGAAAACTTTAAAATATGACTATTGTGGCTCACACCCCTGCATCCCACACTGCCTCCGGGAGAAAGTATCATCTTACTTTGTATTTGCGCTCGTATTGTGCGACCTCAAGATATTGTGTGAGCTTTCCAACAATATATCAAGGTGGCGCTACCTGAGTCTGTATCCGACCACATGTACCGCATGGGCATGTGCTGCATGCTGCTGGACGACGCCAACGAGGCTGTCAATCGCTCCAAGTACGTGACGACAAACTCAATTTCTGTCCAGTCGTATGCATTGCTTTATATGGTGGTGGAGTAGATGTATCAAGATGGCCATTGTGCACGACCTAGCGGAGTCACTGGTGGGCGACATTACGCCTCACGACGGTAAGATCTTTATGGAAATTTTGCTTTTATTGCTTCGTTTATTGACTGTCAGCGTCTCGTAAGCAGGTGTTGCTAACGAGGACAAATACCGCATGGAGAAGGAGGCTCTGGACGAAATTTGCAACACACTAGGCGACACACCGTCTGCTATGGAGATCCGTGAGCTGTGGAACGAATACGAGGCGGGGTCCACTGAGGAAGCCAAGATCGTCAAGGTACATGATACCAAAAGTAAATCTCTACTATTTGCACTTCTGACGGTTCTGTTATTGCCCAACATGCGCAGGACTTTGATAAGTTCGAGATGATTCTACAAGCTGATGACTACGAGCGAGGTACCAGTCTTCATGCACTCCCATATATGACCTAATTACTAATACTTGTGCTGTTGGGTTTAGCCCAGAACGTCCCGTTAGACGACTTCTTCCAGAGTACCAAGGGGAAGTTCCGCACACCGCTGGTTCAATCCTGGGCAGCTGAACTGACCAACCAGCGCAACGCACGCCTCGAGAGCAAGACGCCCGTCAAGAAGTGAAAGTCGACTGCTACCACCTCGATGCTTTATAGCCCTTTTAGTAATGGAGATCTATTACTGCAGTAATGGTGATCATGGCCGTGATAAATAACTAATCGTCTACAGTTTTTCCTTTAGGAAAGCAGAGCGCTGGTCACTTCCGTCGATGACCTCCATGCTAACTTTTACTATCATAAGTCACAGATTTTCTATCACCGATAAGATATCTCAACCGGACGTGGGGTAGTCTTGAACTGGAATACGGCAATTGGACTGGTAGCGGTTCAAACGCTGCTCTGCTCTTTGGCACTCGGATGTCTTCCCAACCAGACACGTAGCGCTCAGCTCTTCGCTCTTTGCAGTTTGTATGCCTGCAATCTCGATACGTCTTGTCCACGTCTCCGACGTGTATCCAGTCCCTAACATGGAGAAATGACTACCGGTATGGTACAGTTTTCTCTCGTGAGTTTCGCTCTCCAGCATGGCGCTCCACGTCTTCTTGAGCATCTGCATCTCCTCGTCGTCCGAGTCTTCATCATAGATTTCTGCTCGTTCCTCTTGCCGACCAAACTCGCGATAGAAGCGTCGTGTAAAGTCAAAGTTATTGAAACGCTGAGCATCGTCACTGTCTTGAACTTCACTGACGCCATATCTGCTAGCACTAGACTGGTATCTGTCATCTCTCTGCGTCATTGTGAACGCTGGACTAGGTACCAATGGATAGTGATGGAAACCTGGAGTAAGCGACACTGCCGCTATTGTTCTTCTAGCTGCACTGGGTGACTCAGCCCCTGATCTATCGTCTCTATCGAGACTACAGGATGGCCCCACACGTGTGACTTGACGATGAGCGCCATACTCTAAGAACGATTCAATATGAGTCATCATACTGAAGCAAATAGCGATCAATTGACGTTGGCGAACCACCTCCACAACCTCCAGTGCCTGTTGTAAGAAGCGGTTAAGCGCCATGGATCTGGTTTCAATCACACGCTTAGATCGGGAGCCGAACAGCTTACGCGGTGGGAATTGCTTGAACACAAACGCGAAGCGATCGGACGGGGACAGAGGCGAACAGTGACGACGATGCGAGCTAATGCTGGCTGTACTGGCGCTGGAGCTGATACTGGAGCTAGCGGTGTAGCTGTCCTCGGAGCTGTCCAGCTCTGGACTAGTCAGGTACGCGGCCATCTGATCGTCAATCAAAGACAAGAGCTTTTCACGCAACTCGCAGAATTCCGAGAAGCATCGACGGATGTGCCAGCTCTGTCGCGTTTTAGTGTTTTCCACGCGTAAGATGTACACTGTAGACGGCTTGAGAGCCAACGCTGACGTGATTGACGCCGATAATGAATGTGTAGCGGCGTTCATGATCTGTGTGAATGGCGGCGAGTGGGAAAATGTGGACGGTGGATTGCTGGCGATTGGGAGCAGTTCGTTGACAGGAGGTTTCGTTCGAGAACTGGAAGGCCTTTCGACTCGCTTGTGTCCCAGTTACAGACACTGGATTCTAACGCGTCACGGCAAACTGATGCAGATAAACGGTTGTCTGCAAGGTGTTCCGCCTTCGGAGGAGATTGAAAAATGGTGACTGCGAGTTGAACGTCCGCTATTCGGGGGGCTCAGGTGAGACCATATCACGGGCCAGAGACCGACTGGACTGCAGTCGGATAGAAAGGAAACAGGCTTACACGAAAAGTTCTCAAGCTGTCGAAGTTCCTCGCGATTTTCTAGCGCCAGTCATTGTTTAAAAGGGTTAACGGCTCCATTTGAGACTTTTAACGGCTACCGGTACCTCCAATGTACCAGATATTCGATACCTTCAAGTCGTAAGGTAAACGTGCTTGAAAAGGCGCATTAGTCAACAGGTCGGAACGTTCCAACGTTGCGTCCGTGAGTCTTTGCACGTGCAAGTCTGGCGTAACCGCGGTACACTGCAAATATTTGACCGCAAAAACGCTGATATGTGACCAGCGCGCAACGCGCTCAGTGATGTCTTGACGCGAGGAAGGTGTGTGTCGTGTCATCTCATCAATCCAGATTAAGTTTTAACTTGTCAAGGACAGCCTAAGGTTGCTGCGATCCAAGGAGACGTTCGGAAGGCAAACTTCAACTTCTAGGATACACATTTGTTTACCTATATAGCTCTCATGCTTTTCGTCATGCTGCAGTACTACTGCAAGTATGGGGAGTACCGAGAAATGTTCCTTGCCGCGAAAAAACGCGCTTACGATTGAATGGTGCGTACCTGCTTTCGTTTCGATAGCTGTCTTTGGCTTGTGATCATTTGACGTAGTGGAGGCTGAAGCTTCGATGAATTTGCTTCCTTCTATCGATCCATACGACTGGATAAGGCTTGTCACGGAATCCATTCTCCTTGTTTAATCGTAACGTCATGGATTGTCTTCCTAAACCACCATTTTTGCCAAGCGGTCTGACCATCGACTCTCCTAAGATTCGATGGAAGGCCAATGCTGGTTAAGCTTCAAGGATGAGGTGGGCGTTCTTCGTCGGCCGATATCAGAACGATGGCCGCCAGCTATGGGCCAGTACACTGCCCAGCGCTCATGTATGAAGCAAACACAAGCTGCACCAACTTACGCATTACGTTCTGCTAGCAATCCGGCCATAATTTCCAGATTGCCTGTCTGTCCACTCGCTTTTAAGCGCTCTTGCTACAAGCGCGCATCGTAATTGAATTATCCAAAGTGAATGGAGTCTTGATCTCATCGAGATATGCTTTAAGAATCCTACAGCGTTAAGCACCACGTAAACTGTATCAAGTTTTGACACATTCAATAGGCTTTTATACTATCGGATACGTATTGTGCGTTCTTCTCAAAATTTCCATGGGTTCTTTGACAGGTATTGAGTATGAATTGCGAACTCACCAAATTTGCCGATATTTTGAAACGGCCCAAATTGGACCGATCGATCAATTTGTGATCCACAATTCTTAGTTCCGAAGTACCGTACTAATTTCGTAAATTCCTTAAGGCACCAGCTCGAATTATTTTTTTTTTACTAGGTTTTACCGTGATTTTCATCAATTTGCCGCCGATTGGCTGTCATCTAAATTTAATGACCAGGATCTAATAATAATAATTGAGGTGTATTGTGTTACTGTCATTTGTCGGACTGAAATTGACCAGGATCTAGACAATTAGGTCCGATTTAGCCATATCTGACTTGACTTATGGCCTTTATGATGAGTGAATTGCCAATTAAAACGGTGTTATTATCGCTTATGGCGGTTTATTAGTCGCTGGACACTTCGAATTAAAGAGGAAGTGCAAGAATTGCCGACGTATTAATAAGTGATCTGCCACCCCTGTCAATACTTAGACTGCTAAAATGGCTGAAAATCATAACATTTATAATATAAAAAGGCTGCGGACTTTTAAAAAAAAGAAGTACAGTATATTGTGAGGAATTTGTTCATGTTGACGGTACGCACGCAATCATCGCACACTCGAGCACTGCTGTTTTCCTATCTACGAGAAGGAGCATTCCGCATGCGCTTGTACTGCAAGAACGTAACTAAAACGTGTGGATAATCCTCTGGATTCAATACGTTGATGCCGACTTTATTTTATTAGCATGAATTCTACTTCGAAAATAAGTAGAAAATCACTTGGATTTGAATGAATATGATACGTATTACAATTAAAATCAGTACATGTTACATGATGAAAGTACTTAACGTTAGTTTTACTGTTGTGGGCACGACGAACTTTTCAATTGCTGAACCCACAGCAGAAATGCACCACCACTACAGCGATTGACGAACTCCAAGACCTGAATGTAGGAAAATTTCGACGACGGAAACCGTGCACATGTCGGACGTGCGCGAAGGTGCGATCCGTTATCCAAGTCTATTTTAACGAGTGCTAACACATCTTCAATTCAATTTGTGTTAAAATAGTGCTAAAAGCACGTGTGCTATTCTACTTATATTTGGTAATTCCTCGATGTACTTGCGATGAAAGTCGAATTGTCTTTTTACCACCGGCTACACTGTATAGGCCATCTATCTGACTTGATCTCGCTCACCCAGTCGATTAACTGCTCTTATTAATAATCATGGTCGGCGGCAAGTGAGTCGAGGAAAGGAACAGTATTCGTCATTCGAGAATCTGCCACGCATCGGCCAAGTCTCCCGTTACTTCACGATGGTGTTTCTCTCTCGCGCTGTCGTGCTTTTCACGGCGACAGTCGCAGCTTCTAGTGCATTGGCGCAGTCTGATACGACTCAGACCCAACAAACGGAATCGGTTTCGCTTCTGGAGGCATTCGAGAGTTGTATGGACAACTCTACCACCAATTACGGAAACGATACCGTCACGGTCAACACCAATTTGTTTGTACAAGAGTCCCCACTCTACGTGGACTACGCCACGGGTCCTAAAGCTCGTATTGACCGCAAACCTCTTGGTGTGTACTTTGCATCATCCGAAGACGATGTTGTGCGTGCGGTCACTTGTTCGGTGACCAATGGCTTCCTCGCAGTGGCGGTCACTCGTACGAGGTATTGTCGTCGATGGACGGCTCGTTGATTATCGACATGGCCGACATGGTGGACGTATCCCTTGTGTCGGAGAACCAGGACGAAGGTTCGGCTGTAGCTACGGTCCAGGCCGGTGCTCGTCTGGCTTGGATCTACACGGAACTCGACCGTCTGGGAGGCTACAACTTCAATGCCGGCACCTGTCCGAGCGTGGGCATCGGTGGTCACATTTCTGGCGGTGGATACGGTATGGTGAGCCGGCACTACGGTTTGGCTGCTGATCAGACTACCGAGTTGCGCGTCGTGTTGTATAACGGCACCGTGGTGACTGCGTCGTCCACGGAGAACATGGACCTGTTCTGGGCTCTTCGCGGAGGCGGTGCCGGTTCGTTCGGCATTGTCACGCTCTTCACTATCAAAGCCTACAAGATGCCCGAGGTGTCGGTTTTCAATGTGCAGTTCAACGCCTCGGTGCGTGCTCAGGTACTGCGTTCGTGGATGGACTACTTCCCCACAGCCGACTCAAAGATCACTACGCAGCTTGTTGTCGACGGCGGAGGCGCGCGCATGGTGGGTCAGTACCTCGGCCCCAAGTCGGAGTTGGACGCTCTACTTAACGCCTCGGGAGTGTTCAACCATGGTGGTTTGAAGTCGCAAGAACGCCGCGATAACTGCTCGCAGCTTGCGACGAAGGCGTACATCTGGAAGGGCACGTGCGACGACCTGAGTTCGCTCAACGTCTCACACCACCTGACGTCGGCTGATAAAGACTACAGCAAGATCAAGGGCGGTTATTCCAACACGGTGCTGAATAATGAGGGAGTCCAGACCGTGCTGGAGTGGGCTGACAGCCTACCGAACACCACGTGGGCCTATATCCAGTTCGAGGCGTACGGTGGTGTCTTCGCCACGCAGAAGAACGACATGACGCCGTGGGCACACCGCGACGCCGTTTGGTCGGTTCAGATTGGCGTGGGCGCTAACAAGGGCGAGTCCGAAGACTCTCCGTCCTACCAGTGGATCCGCGGTATTGCCGGCGCTCTGGAGAAATACTTTGACGGCGGAAACTACCAGAACTACTGTGATCTGGACCTGGGTGACGATTTCGGTAAACGATACTGGGGAGCGGACAACTTCGCCCGCCTGCGCCAGATCAAGGCACAGTACGACCCACTGAACGTCTTCCACAGCGCTCAGTCCATCCCTCTTCCTGCGAGCTCCTAGAAATTCTAATTTCGCAGGTAGTGAGTGACATGTAATGTTTCAAGTACAAAGCTATCTTCTTACTTACTACTACATAGTAGTACTTAATGCTCACTTCAAAAAAAAAGTACTGTAACATGCACTAGGTTTTAAAAGGTAAACGTAGTTTGTATTTTTTTTAATTTTTTAAGACTTACCGGTAATACCTAGCTTTACCTTAAAATACCGGTATTAGGAAAGAATTTTTAGCCAACCTACATCGTTTGATCCCACTCTTTTACACTCGATCTAACAACAGCCGACAGTACGTAACTCACCCGATGGAGTCGAGTCAGTCGACAAGTGCTGACGTGTCCATGGCGGCCTCTGATCCCCCAGCAGCTTCCGAACCCACCAGCGAGGAAGTGTGGCAGCTCAAGCGCGACAGCTATGCTTCTCTACGTGCCTTCGAGTCGCACCGCAGCGCTCAGATCGACAAATTCCAGACCCGTGATCGCGCCTACTGGCGCCAGTTCCAGGAAGAAATCCGCCACGGGGGCGACGAGAACACCCGGCTACTGAAGTTTCTAACATTGCGACTACAGGCCGATCTTGCGTATGCAGAGGCACTGAGACATACACGCGCAGCGCTGGATGCCCCGAGTCAGGGAGCTGATGCGAATGCAGCGACTGGGAGCGACCAGCTGAACGTTCAGTCGTCGGTGTCTAAGGCGCTGCATGCGGTTGGGGAGGTACAGACGCAATTGGCTGAAAAACTGGTGCAACTAACGACAGTCGTGAAGAGAGAGGTGACGACTAAGCCGCTTGAGGAGATGGCGGCCACGTATAAAGAGAGAGTGGCGAGTATGCTCGTGGAGGGGGATAAACTGGATGATATGCTGTTTCAATCGCAAAAAAATGTGCTGTCGGCGTTTGAGAAATATGAGGAATTGTTCAAACAAATGGAGAGCGAGAAGGAGAGTGCAGATACAAGGCGACAGGATCTGTGGTTGGCTGAAATGAACTACTGCATTAATGTACAGAAACTCCAGCAGTGTCGAGTGGAGTATGTGACGGGGATGTCTGGACTATTTCAGCAGTATAAGACGATGGAGGTCTG